ACAGTTTGCCAAACTTGTATTTCTGGCATATGGCTTCCATCTTCAACTCAACATGCTTGCCACCTGTCCAAAGCAGATCATCAACATGTACAACAACCAACCCGGCCAACGCGCCGTCCTCTTCTCGCAAGCTGTAAGCGGCTGGTTCATGAGGTACTGGAGTGAATCCTTGCTCAAGCAGTGAAGCATGCAAATTCTTGTACCAACCTCGTGGAGCATCTTTTGTACCGTACACGGTTGAGGAAACCATGTAGTATCGACCACTGGGCTCATCTGGGATACCTCCACGCGGCATTGAAAGAACCAATGTCCTGTCAAGCTTTGATCCTTGTAGGAATGCCGCTGAGATGTCTCCAGTCCATAGGTCTGTGTCCCGGCATGCTGAGAGAATGAGGCTCAAAGACATCATCGGCGTTGAACAGGTCGGTGAATCTGTTCTGATCTTCGAGGCGTCCTCTAAGTCGCCCCTGACCACAAGCCTGCTCTTCAAGATGTCTTCTTCATTCGGCTCGGCCTTGTTCACGTCGACCCACCTGGTAGGAATCACACGAAGTCCAGGCATGTCACGTTTCAGCTCTGCCAATTGCTCCTCACTCAACCATTTGACATCTGTGTATTTTGTCCAATTGCCCCACTCTTTGCGCCTTGTCTCAATGAGTTTGGCCTGCGTCTCTGCACTCTCCTTCTCAAATGTCAGCTCCCGTCCCGCGCCTGTCTTCTTTGTACGCTGCACCTTCTTCTTCACTTTGTGCTGCTGCCGACTCATCAGGAAAGCCACCGATGGAATTGGTCGTACACACTCATCCCATGCATAGGTTGCTGCATTTGATGCCCTGGGAGGAACGCTTCCATCAAGGAGGTCTATCTCCTCATCGGGTCCAGTCACTTGAGGGCTGACTTCAACCTCGGGCTGATATGAAGGGCTGCTCATGCTGCTCGTGCCAGATGTAGGGATTGTGTCCAATCCTGGTGGAGGTGACAAATCCTGTGGAAGAACATTGCCAAGCACATTGTCCTCCTCAATCACTGTCTCAACTCCAACACCTGGTGAGTCTGCGGTTGTCAATGTCTCTGGGGTAGCAGCGATTCCAGAGCCACTGGGTCCTGTGTCAAGAGTCTCTGGTTGGACTCCGACATGATCGTGCTCCTGGGTGTCAACGAACGGAGCCTGATGATCTGTCCTCTGTCTGCGGTTCCTGGCTTCCTCTGTATCGTCAATGAACGGGATGTAGTCCTCTTCATGGGGATGTGACGAATACAGCTCTCGCTTCCTCTTCCTGGCTGGCCTGAGTTCCAACAGTTGCTTTCTCAAAATCTCCTGAGTGGATGCGGGACGGCATGATGTCTCTGCAACCAAAATTGTGACACCAGCATGAACCAACCACAATGAAGATTTGCCTTCTGTTGTCAAAACTCTTGCCGGCCCGAACCATTTGCCCTGTTTGGAAAAGCAAACCAAATCGCCAGTGCGATACGGCCCTCTGATGGGTACAGCTTTTCTCAAAAGAGCTTTTCTGATCCGTTGGGAACTGTCAACTTGTGCAAACATCTCTTTTGCAGTTTGTCGCATCAACAACTGAAGCATGAATTGCTCTTGCGGGGTCTTCTCCTCAGCGTCCACCAAACCCTGATGCACACCAAGATGGTTCTCGGGATCTTGGCTTGACAAACTAGTCAAGTCCTCCGGTGTGTGCCCGAGAACCCATTGTGCTCGTGAAAAGACAAGAACATTCTTTGCACGAGCACACTCTGAACACAATGCAGAAATTGCTGTTGCACCAAACAGCTGTCTGTCAATGGCTCTCTTCATCATCTCCTTCAACATGCCGCCATGCCGCTCTGCTGTGCCCAACTGATGTGGTGCCCGGGCGCCAGTGCGCCTCAACTCTGTGCCCTGTGCTGTCAACAATGCTGCAACTCGGCCTCTGTTGTGAACACCTTGATCACATTTGAAAACTCTTGGAGCTCCGGCCCATGACAACCAACTAGCATTGATTTCTTCAGCACAAACCTTGGATGGCGGTGTTCCGCCGGCTGCGACCCTGATGGCCACATGATAGTGAGTAGCCATGTCAACCAAGGATAAAATGCTGTGTCGGGCTCCTTTCACATCTACGACCTCAAGCACATCTGCTGCCAGCTCATCGTTGAACTTCATCTGATGACATGGATTGGCTGGTCGTACTGTGCGGGGTCGTTCATCACTCTTGACCTCATCGCGACTCTGACAACGGAAATGCTGAGCTGCTTCAATGACCTCTTTCTCTGCCAAAGACAAACAAGCATGCGAACCAAGGCCTGATTGCTGCAATGTCCCATCATCTGATGGATGCGCCGGATGGCGACGCGTTGCTCGCGGCTGATCTTCAACCATTTCTGCTTCCTCTGCCGCTCTTTCTCATGAAGCAAAACTTCAACTGCAGCGTCTTGTCCTTGTTCATGGTCCTCCTCCGTGTCTAAAGCATCGAAGTCAATTCTCCTCCGCTTGTGCACCTGCTCAGCAATGTCATCCAAATCTTGGACGCCGTCCAGATGTCCTGTGGTCTCGTTGTCCTCAATCTCAAACTCTGCTGGGAAAGCGTGACAGATCACCTGGGACTTGAGCTCAGCTAGCGCTCCTTCCAAAATGGCCTGACAAAGTTCTTTTGGCCACTGCTGAGCCTTCTTGGTTCTGTTGCCCTCCAAGACCTCATGCTCGTGTTGACCATCACAAAGTTTGCGTAGCTTGTCTTTCATCTTGGCCGACGAAAGCAACATGCCAGTGCCTTTCTGTTGAGGTGTGCCACTGTCACCAATGAGGCCCTGAGGCCATACATGCACTGGTCAATCCGAAGAACTTGAAGGGGTTCACCTGTGAGCTGATTCCTCAACTGCTTGTCCATCATGTCCGTGAAACACTTCAATTCCCAAAGCAGGGATGGCCAGGGATTCTCCAGCAAAACTTCACGGCCCAATTCAAGCCTCCTTTCAATCAGCTTGGCGATCCATGCCACGACAGGATACCAATCTCTCCTGTTCATCACTTTGTCATAGATCTCTTCGCTCTTGCTCATGTTCACTCTCTGCCACGGTGACCACGGAGCACATAATGGGGAGAGAGTCAGCAAGAACGGGTCTTCATCTTCAATTTCCTGCCATAGCCTGTCACGGTTGGCACGTTGAAGAAGGTCATACCTGGAGTCGATCTCAACATCAATGGGTGCGCTGATGCTGAGGCCCATGCTCACTGCCATCAAACTCAATGTTGCGGCACCAGCGAAGATCTCCTTCAAAAAACAGCGACAACCTTTTGGAAGCATCTGTTTGTGCCGCTTGGTGGTGCCTTGCAATGTACTCCACAACGCACAATCTTCTTTCTCCAGGTCGTCCATGACCTCGCTCAACATCTTCTTTTGCCCTTTGCTCATGATCTTCTTCTTCTGCTCGTTCAGCGGGAGGTGATGTTCTCCGCTGCTTGTGGCATTCGACTCCGTTTCATTGGAGTCCACATCATCAGTCATGTTCTCGTCATCGTCAGTCTCATTGTCGTCCGTGACGTCATCCTTGTCCCGGACCTGCTCATCGTCCATGTCGTAGTCCTCAGCCATGGACATTGCGATGCCCTTGACATTCTCATCGCCCGGGTGCAGGCGAATGGCTGGAAGTCTATTGATGTTCACAATCTCGATCTCCTTGTCAAGCGTCTTGCCGTAGGCTGTGTACTCCGACATGTCGAGCACAAAGCCAAGTGCCTTCTGTGCCGTTGAACTCAGCAAGAGTGGCGCATCTGAATCTTCCAGCTCGATGGAGGTGATATGTCCTGGCACCATCTCGTCATCAAGTGACTTCATGCAGACAGGTAGTGTCCTCTTGCCTGCAACTGACACCTTGCCACCAACACCACGGAATCATCCGTCCAAGGCCATCAACTCTGGCTGCATGCCCATGTAGTTCTTGAACTTGTCCATCCATCGTGAGCCGTGGCACGTATTGTTGCAGCCGGTGTCCAAGATGACATAGAGCTCATCAGGGATCTCAGAGTCGTGGACCATGTATGCACTACCGGTTTCCTCCGCCTGACGTCCCATGCAATACTTGGCGAACTGCACGTCCTTGATGTTATCGTTGGCGTGCTTGGAAATGATCCCCTTGACATAAGTCTTCTCATAGGCATAGACCATCTTGAAAGATCGGCCCTTGTGCACTCCAGCTTTGAACTCCACACCATGTAGCTCATCAACATTGACTGGAGCTTCGGGCTTCTGACGGCTGCGTAGCTCTGACCAGTGTCTCTGGCCGGTGAATCTCCTCCTCCAAACACTGCCATCTTGCATTTCTCATAGATCTTGTCGAGGGTCTCTCAAGTCACAACTCCTGCAATCTCCTTCTGAAGGCGTACGGAGATGGAGAAGAGCTCGACAAACTTGTCCACTGTGTCCCCATCGGGAATCATTCCGGATGGAGATGCCGTCTTGCCGTTACCTTTGCCACCAGTCCTCTGGCCTTTCTCAAGATGACCACATGTCTTGCACCTCCACTGCCATGTAGTTCCCGTGCTGCCTCGCCAGTCTCGATCTGTGATCACAACTTCCTTTGGCCTTGGCCGCATCTTCAGCCGACCTCATGGGCTTGCCCAACTTCTCGTACTCCAAGTGCTTGCCACAATCCTTGCAACGGGTGATCTTGACGTGCATGTTGGAGCCCTGTTTGGTCAGGTTCTTGCACTTGCAAATTTCAGC